TGCCTCTCCTCTGCTCATGCTCTGTCCCTCAAAAATAAACAAACATTAAAAAAAGTTTTGTTTTTTTTAAGTCTTGCTATGCAAAGAGCTATATGCACCCTTGTGTTCATTGCTACATTATTTACAGTAGTCAAAATATGGAAGCAACCTGTGTTTATTAATAAATGAATGGATAAAGAAGATGGGTGTGTGTGTAATATTACTCAGCCATAAAAAAGGAAATCATGCCATTTGCAACAACATGGATGGACCTAGAGTGTATTTTTCTCAGTAAAATAAGACCAAGAAAGACCAGTACCATGTAATTTCACTTGTGAAAAGAAATGAATGAACAAAGAAAATAAGTCATAGATGCAAGAAATAAACTGTTGGTTACAGGAAGCAGGGGAAGAGGGACAAAATAGGTGAAGGGAATAAATAAGTCATGGGAATCTCATGTATAACGTGGAATATAGTCAATAAAATTGATGAAAATTTGTATGGTAATAGATGGTAACTAGACTTATTGTCAGGATCTTTTGATAATGTATCAAAATGTCAAATCACTACAATGTGTGCCTGAAACTAATAGCATATTGTATGTTGGTTATACTTGAACTTTAAAAAAAAATTTTTTTTTTTAACGTTTATTTATTTTTGAGACAGAGAAAGAGCATGAAGGGGGGAGGGTCAGAGAGAGGGAGACACAATCTGAAACAGGCTTCAGGCTCTGAGCTGTCAGCACAGAGCCTGATGCGGGGCTTGAACTCACAGGCCGCGAGGTCATGACCTGAGCTGAAGTTGGCCGCTCAACCGACTGAGCCACCCAGGCGCCCCTATACTTGAACTTTTAAAGAGTGACTTAACAGTAAAGTAATAATGCTTGTTTTATAAATTTAGTGTGTGCATCTCTGAAAAACATTGAAATTGTTCATACTTAAATCTTTAAAAATGTGAAGACGTTTTTATTTAAAATGTTTTTCTTTTTAAGATACCTTTCAGGTTATTTCAAAATGTTTTTATCAGTAACATATATTTTTGAATTTTGCAGGTATTCATACAAAAAGTTTTGCCTAAGTGATAGTGTACATGCATTAGTTTTTTTCAGTAACTATTGTTTATTTCCATAATTACAGACTGAAATCAGCAAGGGATGTGGTTACCAGAACAGGATACTCATTGGCTTTGGGATCCCTACATAGATATTTAGGAGGGATAAGTTCTTCTCAGCATTTGAATTCTTGTGTCGGAATCCTTTATACTTTGTCTCAGGACAGTACTTCTCCTGATGTGCAGGTAAATACTCCATGTGATACTTTTCTTGAAATTCATGATTTGTAGATAATGCAGATTATGTTTTTATCGGCCACTAGTAACTTGTAAATAATTCACACACACACACACACACACACACACACACACCGCCCAGTAAATGTCTAAGCCATTGTTAACCTGGACAGATTTTTGAAATTCAAGTCTTAGTCAAATCTTGCTATCATTACTTCACACTCAGGAGTTTCTAAAGTCAAATTTAGTATTTTTTTTCTGAAATCGATCTTCCTTCCATCTTAATAATAACATTTACCATTTTGGAGAACTTAATAGGTACCAAGCTTTGTATCACATTCTTCTAACAACATATTAACATATGTAAGCCTCACAGTAATCTCGGGTGTATATTCCCCTTATACAAAAAGAAAACTGGGGCTTACAGAAGCTAAGTAACTTGTTCACAGCTGAAAGCTAAAAAATCATCTAATCAGTTCAAGAACACAAGTCACGGGCTCCAAACCCATGCTCTTAACCACTTTACCATATTATTGTACACATCTTACCCATGTCATTTAAAATCATCATTCTCTTGATATTTTAAAATCAAATTTTTTAAAATCAAATCTTGATTGATTGTTATTCTTCCTGTTCTTTTACTCTCCTTATCTCTGTCCCCCTCGTGTGTTCCTAATTATTATAGTAGTGTTTTTAGGTTCTTTTCAACTCTCCCTAGATATGAAGCCACATTTGTCTTCCTGAAAGGCTTTCATCTTGCAACTTTCCTGTCAAAAAGCTGGGAAACTGCTTATTGCTTCCTAAATCTCCTTCTCATTCAAGTCCTATCAGCTGACCCAGGAACCTTATCTATCATTACCCCAGAGTAGTGACTTCTCTCATAGGCGGTCTGCCTGTTCTCATTCCACTCATGCCATTCTCATGTCTGCACTTATATTTTCCTATTGTTCTTTTCCCTTCCTGGTCCTATCTGATCATCCAAATTTTCTAGCGTTCTGAAATCCAGTTTAACCACCTTCTTGTCAAATTTCAACATCCCTAATCCACAGTTAGCTTTCCTTCTTTGAATTACTACCATTAATACTAATAGTCTCTTCATCATCATTATCCAGTAGTTGATTGAGTTAACTTATAAGGTGTTCCATTCTTTCATCCTCCTTTGCTTCTATTTATTATATTTCTCTTCTCCCCCTTCAAGAAGTCTATTGCGAATGCACATACATTTACATCGAATACTTTTTCAGTTGATTAATTTAAATGCTTTTAGTGGCTTCCAGTGTCATTAAATCTGACTCTTCTTGATTACTGCTGTCTCTGACTTAACAGTTTATTTTTGTAGAATGTTTAGTACTCTAAGCTTTCTTATACATTCATTGATAAGAGGGATAAAGCTTTCTGAATTTCCTAAAGGGAGGAATTTTTATGTCCTTCAAATGTATATAGAAGTAGATAGAGTGTATACTATAAGGAATCTATTATACCCATCATCTGTCTGACTGCTCGGTTGTCAGTATATGGCCAGTCTTCTTTCTTTCCTTCCTTCTTTCTTTCTTTCTTTCTTTCTTTCTTTCTTTCTTTCTTTCATTCATTCACTGGTTGGCTTAAATAGCAGAAATTTGTTTTCTCATGGTTCTGTAGGCTAGAAGTCCTAGATCAAAGTGTCAGCCAGTTTGGTTTCTTCTGAGCCCTCTTTCCTTGGCTTGCAGTTGGTCACCTTCTCATTGTATCTTCACATGGTTTTTCCTTTGTGCATGTGCATCTCTAGCATTACTCTGTCCAAATTTTATCTTCTTAGAAGGACCCTAGTCACATTGGATTAGGGCTTGCTCTAATAGCCTCATTTTAACTTCATTAAGGCCCTGTCTCCAAAGACAACCTCATTCTGAGGTACTGGTAGAGTCTTGTTTCATTTAAACCAGAGTTGACCAACTTATTATTTTCAGAGCCATATGGTAAATTATGTACACTTTACATGCCATACACTCTCTGTCAGCTGCTCAGTTCTGCCATTGTAGCAGTAGCAGTCATAAATAGTATGTAAATGAATGAGCACGACTGTGTTTCAGTGAAGCTTTATTTATAAAACCATGTGGCAGGGCAGATTTGTCTCAAAGGCAAATCTGTTTACTATATTAATATTTATATATATAATGTATACACTTATTTAATACACATATATTTATTTTTATATGTTTGTAAAAGTGCACTTATCATAAGTGTGCGTCTCTGTGAGTAAAGTATACAAACTAAATACACCATGTAACCAGCACCTAGATCAAGAAATAGAAC